TATTCGTAGTGTTTGATATTTTTGCTTAAAATATATTCTTCAATCCACTCTTTTGAATTATTGGCAGTTTGCATATTGATTTTTTTATTAATTGGAATATTTAGCAAGAGAAATAATAATTTTTGGAGTGGAGAAAAAAAATGCATTCGGTATTAAGCCACAGGTCATACGAATGATCTGTGTAACTTTAAAATAATTTTTTCTTTGTTTGAATACCGTATATTGCGGGCCATAGTACCCCGGGTATCTTGCAAATTTCGGATGATTGACCTTGTACTACCAAGTCTATAACTTTTATAATACAGAAATAGAATGTTAAAGACTTGTATAACTATCAGAAAATTGTTTAATACATAATTTCTGGTTAAAATTAGATTTCTAAATAATAAAAAACAATAGAAAATGTAACTTTTTTCGGGTAAAAAAAGGGGGGGATACAATACATGGGAGGATACTATGGCCCGCAATATACGGTAATTCATTAGGTTGTACTAAATTCTAGGTAATTTATTAGGACTAAATGGTTGCGCAGAAATAATCATCGATCGTTAAATTTTTATTAAATAATTGAATTGTAAGATTAATATTTCATGATAGGATTTATTAAATCTACCTTTTTTCAGTAAATGATGCTCTTAAATAGATATCATGTGACTCGTAAATATCACTTGACTGCAGACTTTTTCTTGGTATATTATTGTAAATTTTTAAAAAAAAATCACATATAAAAGCGATTGAGTTTCGATTGGTCCAGTGAGAGCGCGCTTGAGTTTTTGTAGTTATGATTTATTCATATTATGTAATTCATCAACTCTATTTTTTTTTTTTTTTATTATATTTAAATAAGGGATCAAAATAAATGCGAAGTTACGTTAAAATAATTGGACCAATTGGTTAAAAAAAAAAATGGGGCAGAATGACGTATACCGTAATTCTGCTTACTTTCAATACATAACGTAACAAAATTGATGAAAAAATTTTCACCGGTTAAAACTTCTTTTATTCAAAAAAAATAAAATAAAAAAAGGAGTTCTCTGCTAAAATATGACTATGTTATATGCAAATTATCGACAAGAATTATGGATATTTAAACTAGATAAGAAGGATTCCTTTCCTTTCCTTCCAAAAATATAGGTAAATTTTTATTTATATCTCTATCTTTTGATCCACCAGAATTGTTATCATCACCATCATCTTGATCATATTTATCGAATAAATTAATATCATTAGAATTTTCCCATTTATGTTCTTTAAGTTTATACACTCTTCCAATAATATTAATGGCCAGATTTGTACATGATGATGAGAACGTTAAGATGGGCACAAGATCATAACGTACTACATTTTGTAAATAAATAATCTATCAAATGTTTTATAAATAAAAATTAGTGATTGAAATAAAAAAAATAAATAAATAAAGAATTAACATACCTGCATAACTAATTGAGGAATTTCTTCAAAAAATATATTAGTGCAAGCTCCGAAAAATATTTTCCTTAATGAATCTTTAGAAAATTCAACTTTAAAAAGATCTAATCCGAAAATTTTTATTTTTGATTCAAGCATGGATAGGGCTTCAATATCAGCTCCCGCTAATAAGGTGAATATTGCTACAACTTTTGTATTTTCACATTTCCATTTCGAGAATTTTTCATATTGATCCTCTTCTTTTATTATATTAAATGCCAATCCTGAACCTATAATAAATGGTAATACTAAAAATACAATACTTGAAGGAAAGAATAACGTCGTAAATAATTATATAAATATTTTTTTAACTTTTTTAAAAATTTAATTTAGAAATCGACTTACCTTGGAATAAATAATCCATCAACATTATTTGCTTTTGTACTAACAAATAAAATATCCAAAACCAGATCGATAATGATAAGTCCAAGTTGCAAGATTGCAAAATTTTTTGCCTAACATATAAATAAAAATTTCGTTTAATACTTTATTTCATTTCAAATTAGAATTTTAGCTATTGATACTTACCTCCCTATTTTCACGTTTAGCTAAAAGGACAAATGAGATCAATACGAATACGATCGCTATTACTCCAATTATTGACAATCCATAAGTATTCAGAAAATTGACTATTTTACAAGACAAGTTCAAATGGTGTATTTAATAATAAATTTATTATCTTATAATATTAAGAATAAATACTTACAAGAAAATTTGTATCCATAATCTTGATCCAAATATTTCGAGTGTTCGCCAGATTCGATAAGAGTTATAGGTTTATGATTAATCAAAATATTTAAATCATTTGCGGCTAAATTAACTGTTCTTTCTTGCTTGGTATTATCCTTTTCTATATCAATAGATAAAATGATTTGTTTTGGAGAAACCGAATGATCCATTTCAAAATTTCCATTAGTCGTTATACGATCCTGGCTAATGGGGATTGCATTAGCTATTTCCCGTCTTAAGTTTGTGTAAAAATCTTTACGTTCATCATCATCAAGACTCTCATATATTTTAGTTCCATCCGTTGTCAATCGAACTCTTCCTGTAACTCTATCCGAAATTTTCTCATACTCCATATCTAATTGGAAATGATTATTATTAGATTATAAAAATTAAAATGAGAGAAGGAATTTTTTTAAAGAGCTTACTTGTTGTAAAAAACCAAGCCTTGTTTTGTAAGCCAAGGAGTGGTTCTTGGTATTGCCGACTCTTTACAAAATTATTTTCAATTGAAACGTAATATCTTTCACCGGGCCGATTAAATGTACTTTTAATTATCTTAATATTAACGGTACGTCCATCTTCATCAGGTATTACATAATTGTTGTCGCTCCCAGAAATGTTTTGACGTACAATGCGATCATTTTGAAATATAATGATATTACGATTTGATAAATCAATAGGATTATGATAATTAATCTTAATAAAATCTATTTCATATTTAATTACATCGTCAACAACCGGAAATGTGGAGTTAATATGCAAATTCCCGTATCCTTGATCTACAAAATATAATTTTAAATTCATATAAGTTTTAAAAATTTTTTAATTCTTAATCTTCCGCGTCACTTTACCTAGATACCCGGCAAATTTGTACAATTCAATTGAGCTCAAACTCCAATTTTGAGTTCCTTCAGGTAACGCAAATACATAAGTGTTATTTGGTAAGATTATATTCGCATTCATAATGCTTACATTGATGGGATTTGTCAAACCCCAATCATAAACTTCGGTGTCATTAAAAATGTAACCATAAATAATATTATCTCCTTTCCCATCTAATAAATAACCTCCATATGGCAGTGATCTAACGTTATAAGTATCAATTCCAGGATTATTTGGTATGGTAGTATTTAATGATTGTATATTATATACATTTCCAGACGAAAGGAAATCAATTTTAATATAAAATGAATCTGTTATATCTCGATTTACGAATTTTCCGGCTAATATACAAGATTGTCCGACTCCTACGAAAGCAATACTGCAATCCAGGTTGTTAAAGGTTAATCCGTGGATTTGAGTTTGATAAAGGATGACTGTTTGTCGATCGGTTTTTGTTCCATATGGTAACAGTTTTGCGTAAACTCCGCCTTGTGGAGGCATAGGATCGCTGGGAGTGGCTATTGATTCCGATGTATAGGCGTAAATAATCGCGTATCCTCCGTCCATCATTGCGACAGGTTTCAATATGGCAGATGTATAATCTACTGGAAGCATAAGTTCATCTTCTGCAAGCAATTGAATTTCTCCCTTATCAGTTCTTGGAAAAAAAATATATATATATATAATTAATTTAGTTTCAATAATATCTTTGAAATCTATGTGTACTGATAACTGATAATTTACATTATGAATTGTTGCCAGAAAATATTGGTTGTGTTTGCTATACTCCCCAAGCGGATAAATCCCTTGTCACGATTAACATTACGCATTATCTTTGCAAAGTTAGGCAGCCATTTATTCGTAATAGGATCAAAAAAGGCATGTCCCAGAGAAGCGTTACTAAAAAAAAAAAAAAAAAAAAAAATTAAAAAAAAGCAAAAATAATGAAGTCAATTGTATTAAATAAAATTAAAACTAGTCTGATTTTTTACTAACCCATAAATATTTCCATGTAAATCAAGCACCATCGCCCGCTCATCATAAGTTGTAGGATCATCAACATCCGCAACTTCGGTATATGTTACTAACAAAAAGTAACTTTGAACAGCATAAATTTTAATAGGGCTAAATACTTCATTTCTAACCCGAATACAAAAATTTAAATCTTGTATGTCCAACGTGATGTTAACTGATTCAACCCTTCCATTAGGAAAAATTGTGCGAAATGTCAAATATCTATCCACGCACATCAATTCTTCATCATTATCATCGGAAGGGTCTGATTGATTGGAATTAATGATATGAACGACGATCGTGTTATCATTATAATTATCAATCGAAAAAATGATGGGATCAGTGGCGTTTTCGTCATATGTAAACGTATTTACTTGTTGTGATTTAACAGCTAATATTGCGAATAAAATGATTGAGAAAGTTGTAAAAATAAATGACTTCATTATGTTGAATTTTTATTTACCCAATCATATAGCATAAAATTAAAATTAAAAAATGAATATGAAAAATGAAATTAAAATTCAAAACAAGTTGGGTGAAACAATGACTTTAAATCTTTTTTTTTATTTATTTATTTAAATGAGATCCCAAATAGGAGTGTCATTACGTAACAGAGCAGAGAAAAAACAAAACATCACTTTATCTTTAATTAAACCCTCTATTTTATCACACCTCTGATTAAGTACCAATTTTTGTGATCAAAGGGATGGAAAATTTTGCAACATTGAAATGAAAAGGCGCCAATTTATTATTATTATTAGAATAATGCATCTGTACACGTAAAATTTGCAACATTTTATTCAAAGACTCATACAAAATAGTGCAATTTTTAAAAAATACGTTATGAATATAAAGAAAAATGTTTACATGTTGAATAAATAAATTTATAAAAAATATGGAAAATTTTCCTATTTCTTTTTCGAAAGAAGCTTCGCTTTACTATTCTTATTGCCATCTTCAGTAATTTGAAGATATTTATCCGTATTCGCGCGTTTAGATAGATCCTTACAATTACGTTTTAATAAAGATTTAGAACTTTCTGCTTCCGTCATAAGAATACCTTCCTCATTACAATCAAGGTTCATATCATCATACGTATGACTGAAGGCCTTGACACTGCCATCATGATTTATTTTTACGTTCAATCCTTTTGTCATGTCACGGACGACATCTTCACAGTTATCAATGATTAGGAATTTGTATTTCTTGGTCGAATCGAAACCATGACTGAAATAACCTGTGACGGTAGTTCTACCACATTCATCTTGAGCAAAGACCACAAGACCTTTAACTGGACCATCAGAAACCTTTTCTGTTTTAGACCACTTTGTATCAAAAATCGCATTGACCAGAGTGAAAGGACATTTTTTAGACATCGTTCTTTTCATCACACCATTTCTCTTAAATACGCATGTATTTCGTTTTTCAAGTGCATAATCATTTTCAAGATCATCATCAATTGGTGATACCGCCGAAACAGCGATGACGTTCACAAGCACGTAGGCTAGAAATGCCAAAAGAATAAATGCTTTCATATTAAATTCGTAAAAAAAAAAATTCTCGTTTTTTTTGAAAAAAAAAAAAATTTTTTTTTAGTAAAGATCTTTTCATTTACGATGGGGAATGGACTCATTTTTATAGATCATGAAGTTGGGGTTGGACGCCAAGAAGAATGGTTGGGTAACTTCTTTAACTAGATACATTATCTAATAGTATTTAAAAAAAAATTATTATAGAAATCGGAGTACAAGCATGATCTACATGTACAATTACAAATTAAAACAATATCGATATACAACTCGGTTTATAACTCCGATTAAAATTTTGCAAATGAAACTACAAAATTGTTTAATATCTGGGAAATTTTTTCTCACAGGTGACACGAAAGAGGTTGACAATGAATCTTAAGAAATATCGAGAAATTTCTATGAATAAATTGTATAAAACAATTTATTAAAAAATTTATTATCACCTTACAACAATTTACCCTTAAAAAAAATAGAGGGGTGAAGGGACTGATATGGCATTAATTGTCCTTAAATGTTAATATCGCGCCCATTTGATGTCATTTTATTTTAAATAGATGAGCCAATCAAATGAAAATTACCAAAACCGGTAAATTTTCTCTGCAACAATTTTGCCGAGAGTCCCGGTTTGAATTTTCACGTGACATTATTTCGCGCGTATAGAAAAATATTGATACAAAATGTAAAATATAAAAACATAACCGTGTTAACTACAATTAAGTTTTGCCTGATACCTGTTTTTGATTCTTTGATAACTAACAAGCTGACTCGGCTCAGCTCGTTTTATTTTTCGAATCGTTATAATGTTCTCAAAGTACGTTCATGAAATGTTTTTTTTTTTTAAAAGGGAAACCTTCTTGAAACATTCATCATAAATAGAAACGTCTCGAGAACGTATAATTACGTTACAAAACATTTCTCATGCTCTGGAGGCAGGAAATCCCTCCCATAAGAAAAACACCAGAGGCAAACCCCACCATGAGAAACGCTCCAGAAGTGAATAAAATTGCCTGTTCTAGAATATCAAGGATCTTTTATTTTTAAATTTAGAATTTATTCCTAAGGACCATTCCAAACTTTGCTTTCCCGTGAAAAAAATAAATCTCAAAAAACCATTTTCTCATACAAACTATTAATATAATTTATTTTTAGCAACTTTTGAATAAAAATATTTATCGTAAATAAACAATCAATCAGCCTTTTCTATTAATAGTAATTTCATAAAAATCATTTAGGATCGCCAATGAGAAATGCTCCGGAGGAAACCTCTCCGGAGGAGTCGAGAAACGATCCGAATTCCACGTCCGGAAAAAAATGGCAAATTTTTTTTTTAATAGTTAACGTTATCTTGAAAAAAAAAAAATTGAAGATGATAACTTTTATATTACTAACTAAAGCGATAATATGCCAAGAAAAAAAAAGATTTCTTAATTTTTTCAAAATATTTAGACTATGTAAAGCCATCGCGAACCTACTCAGATTATGCTGAGCGTTACAAAAATTAGAGCAATTTTATTGAACCGATTTAAGTTACATACGCTTCTCAACTGCTGCTTAAAATTTTTCATCTTAATCTAAAAAATTCTCGGATTTTTATGCTTTTAGCAAAACATCACAATACAGGATAAATCACTTAAAAGTAGCTAATAATGTCGGGAATCAAAATTTGAGCCTCTGCGGAGCCCAAAATCAACCAATCTAATTTGATTTACCAAATTAATAGTTCTATACTTTATGATCCCGTGTATTAATCATCTTGTGTGAGACTATTTTTGATAAAATTTTTATAATTTTTAAAATAATCAGCTTCCATGCCTACCATGCCTACCCTAAGTGCATGTATGAAATAATTTATAATTTTGAAGATAAATTAATTTTATCATTAAGTATTTTAAAATACATCTTTTTCAATTTTTATTTGAGATGTTTTGAAATATTTTTTTAAAAAAAAAAATAATTAAAATAATTTGAATTATAAAATTTTTTATAATTTTTAATGAGATTTTTGCTCCAAATTATTGTATATAAACCGATATAATTTAAATTTTATTCGTTTATAAGATTTAAATTTCTAATAAATTACAATAGTACTTGTTTAATTTTTTAATTGTTCAGAGTAGAATAATAAAAATTTCTTTAGCCTTTAATTCTGCGTGATGCATTTTTTTTTGAATTTTATTAAAAATTATTTTAAAATTTAACAATATAATTGGTATCCTTTGAAGTTTAAGCGTGACTGTTCGTTTTTAATAAACTAAAAGTAGCGAACAATCAAAGGCAAAATGGATCTTATGTGATATATTTACAGATAATTTAGAATTTCCTAGTTATTTAGAAAGATTTATAATTAATAAATAAAATAATATTTCGATACTTTTTTGATATATCACGTGATTTTTATGCAATTATTGGTTAATAAAAGACTATTTGAACTGTCTAATTGTCCAATTGTCCAATTGGTTCATGACATGATGCGAAAATAGTTACTTTTGAAAAGTGATTATTTGTTTCAAATAAGTTATTTTATTGTAATATTACATATCTTTATTATTTCATCCTAAAACTGGTCGTTTTGATTTGATCGTTATTCCTCGGACTTACTGAAAAAATAATAAAGACCTTTTAGAGCAAATTTCTTGAATGAAAAAATTTGAAGAAATTTATTTAGTTTCGCCCGATGATTGTTGCAAATTAATGTTATTAAGAATACATTAAATTTATAAATTAAACTAGGGATTATTAAAACATTGCATTACTATAAAATTACTAGATATCTATGGATCGAAATTGATTAAATCGTAAAGCAAAAAAAGATTAATTAGTGAAAATCAACAACGAAAATAATGCAGCGCTTACTTCTGAAATAAAAGATTTATTGTCGTTTTCAATTTTTTTTTTTAATAAAATTTATTTTTTTTGGAGGTGGCGTTCGTCATTCTATATTACCAACTTTTTTTTTATGGCAGTAAGATATTATTTAATTTTGAATAATGTTATAAAGGTTGCCTTGACATTTTTATAAAAATTCGAAAGAGTCGATTCCTTTTTGCATTCAGCTTTAAGAATAGTTGTATGTTATTTATTTATTTTATTTCGTCTAAACTTGACAAGGGTTCAAAGTCTATGGGTCAAAAAAAACCCCCGATTTCATGTAGATGATTCTATCTTAATAAGCTACTCAGCGAAAACCGATTTAGTAAGTATATACTTGTGCCTGTATCCTTTCTTATTCACTCGGTAAATTATTGTGATAATAAAAAAAAAATTTATTTTATTTTTGGTATTACTTAACTCGTTATCGTACTGTCATAATTATTTAATTTTAATATTTAAACTTCTAATGACCATGCTATTGATACTGAACGTAATGAGCGTAGTCTTTCACAAGAACAAAATAAATATTAGTATTATTATTATTCAGCAGGTAAAAATAATTTCTAGCAAAGATGAAAACTTATTTATTGAAATTAAATCGTCTTGTGAAAATGTCCGGAATCCAGAAATTGTCCACGAATGAATATTATCTGTCAAGAATTTTTCCGGACATTTTTGTTAACAAATTCCGGATATCATTTTTTCATAGGGAGTATGTCGAGTTCCGCAAAGTTAGATCTAAAGACATGAACTAGAAGCTTTAGCAAGCATTGTTATGAACGTTATGAACATTCGAATGTCGAACCACTTCTAACAGACAATATCACTGAAAGTGAGCCACTAATTTTTCGCTACCTGTTTTCTGATTTGAACAGTAAGCAAATTCATTTCGAAAGTTATAATTACTAATATTAATTTGTCTTCTCTGCGGATAAAATATAACTTTTAAATTTTTAATGACAAATAGGTGGAGTATATAGTTTCCTTCAATTTATCAGAATTAAAGTCAACTTAATTGCCTATAAGGATTTAAACAAATGTCAATAACTAACTTAATTTCGATTTGAAGGTTCTGAACATAAACAGAGATATTATCAAAGAAATCTTAAAACATATTTATCTTGAAAAGGTATCTCAATATTTCAATAGAAGAAATGGACAGTTTGTTGAACTATTAAAGGTTTAAAAATATGCATTTGATAAACTTAATCGTAATCAAAAGTTAAGCTTGACACTAAACGAATTAACGAATTAGCTTATTATTTTAATCTATTAAAAATTCTGATAAAAGAAGCTATTTTAATAAACGCGCTTAAATAACGAAATAGACTATATCTCATAATTGAAACTACAAATTGTGGGTAAACTTGTCCGTTTTTCTCTGTACTCGAGACATCAAGCACGAAAAGTACGATAAGTATTTCAAATGATAGCGGTGGAAACGAAAAAATCTGCTTTAAAAAATCTTCAACAAATGAAAAAAAAATTGGGGACTTGAGAAAAATATTTTTTGGAAGTATTGCCCGAGCTTTTTTGCGGGTGATGCTATTCAGACCTAAATTTTGATAAATAGTTATGTTACACGACCTGGCAGTAATTATTTATTAGAACTCTTTTTACAAAAATTCTTTTTAAGCATGTCACCAATCGAAAAAAATAATTTCAACGTTGATTTTTATTGGTTAGAAAGAACGATATCAGAAAATTATATCAAATATTATGATTTTTTTAATCGGAAATAAAACAGCAGCGGTTCTTATGGAGTTGTTTCTTGCGCAAACTGGAAAGGTTCCGAAACTATCATGGCTCTAAAACTTTCTCATAATTTGTCCATTAAAGAGGTCGTTAATGTCGTTAATGAGGTATGCTGGTACAAACAATATTTTCATTTAAAAATTAGTCAAACATATTTAACTTATTAGGATATAATAGATAAAAATGCAACGCGAAGTTGATTATCATGCAAATATTATAAAATTTTATGTTGTATCAAAATCGGATTTAACAAACAAGTATTTGTTGGTTATGGAGTACGCTAATGGTGGATCATTGCAATCTTATTTAAAGGAAAATTATAATAACCTAGAATGGAAGTTGTAAATATCAACTAGCCTTGCAACTTGCAAATGCTGTAGCATATATGCATAACGAAGGAATCATTCACTGTGATTTGGTAAGGCAATTATATTTCGTTTAACACGTTATCTATTGTTTATTAATATTCTTAATATTTATAGCATGCACAAAATGTACTTGTACATCAGAATAATATAAAATTGGCAGGTTTTGGTTTATCGCGAAAAATCACTGATGTTTCAGATTATTCGACAGATGTGTTTGGTGTTGTTCCTTATGTTGATCCAAAATATTAAAGTAATATTAAAAATGAAAATAAAGACCGATATTATACATTAAATCCAAAGTCTGATGTTTATAGTGTTGGAGTTCTTCTTTGGCAAATTTCAAGTGGGCATAAACCATTTTATTCTGAAAATATCGAATATGATGCAAACTTAATTATGAAAATCAAAGCTGCATTAGAGAAAAAATAGTCCTGGATACTCCTATTAAGTATAGTAACTTGTATGAAGGTATATATCAATGCTTTACATAAAAATCATTTTTAAATCAACTTATTTAATTGTTTTTCATAATTTTTTAATAGCATGTTGGAAAGATGATCCAAACGAACGTCCTAATATGCAACAAGTCGTTAAATCTTTTCATTCAATTATTTATGGAACAATTTATGACGAAATTTATTTCACTATTCATACAGAAAATAAAGACGATTCAAGAGATATAGGATGTATGTATAGTAATAATTCTTAGTTATTTTCAAGCAAAGTAACACAAGATTGCTATTTAGAATCAATATATAATGAAAGCAATTCACAACATATTTACATCAAGCGGAAAAGTTATTTTTGGAAATACATGATAAAGAGGAGTATATCAATACTTTTATTGATAACCTAATTAGACTTTTAAATAAAACACTAGATGAAGGAAATGATTTCAATGAATCTGAACATTTTATTAATCATTATATGCTTCTTTCAGATCGATCTTCAAATGAATGGTCGAACAAGAATCAAATGAAATCAAAATATCAAATTTTTTTGGGAATTTTGTACTACAATAATATCAAAATTGATAAAAGTTACGGTGATGCATTTGAATTATTTTTAAGTACATCTGAAAATAATTATTCAATTGCGCAAGTTTATCTTGCTAATTGTTATAAAACAGGATTTGGAACTGAAATAAACTATGATCATGCTTTTAATTGGATGCAAAAGGCCGTAGAAAGCGAAAGCATTTATGGGCAACTTAATATTGGTATTTATTATGAACAAGGTATAGGAACCGATAAAAATTTAATTAAAGCATTTTATTGGTATCAATAAGCGGCTAATAATGGAAATTTATGTGGATTATATAATTTAAGTAGATGTTATGAATTAGGAATAGGTATAGAAAAAGATGAAAATAAAGCATTTGAAATTAATAGAAAATTTCATGAAACAGAGCTTGTAAATGGAATATATAGAATCAGAATTTGCTATTATTTTGGAATCGGAACTGATATAAACAAAAAAGAAGCATTTGAAATATGTAAAGATTTGGCTAAAAGAGGACATAATAATGCACAATCTTTTTTAGGTTATTTATATGATCAGGATGAGAATTCAAAAAAAATGCTATTCAAAAAGCAGCAGAAAATAATAATATAATTGCAATGAATGATTTAGCATTATGTTATGAAAATGGAGAAAATATTAAAAAAAATATTTAAAAAGCTCTTTATTGGTATCAAAAATCAGCAAAATGATGATAATGTAATTGCAATGTATAATTTAGCATTATGTTATCAATATGGAAATGGTTCTAAAAGATTTAAAAAATGCTTTATACTGGCATCAAAAAGCGGTAAAAAATAATATGCAATAATTAATTTAGCATTTAATTTTCAATAAGAAAAAGGAACTGAAAAAATTTTAGAAAAAGCATTCTATTGGTATCAAAAAGCAGCAGAATATGGTAATAATCATGCAAAATTTAATCTGGCATTATTATATAGTAGATGGAAAATAAAAAAGAGTTTTAAAAAACATATTATTGGTATCAACGTGCAGCAGAAAATTGTAATAATTATGCGCAATTTAACCTTGCTTTATTATATGAAAAGGGTATAGGAATAAAAAGAATATTAAAAAGGCATTTTATTGGTATAAAAAGCAGCAGAAAATGGTAATATAGTTGCAATGAATAATTTAGCTATATACTACCAAAATGAATTTAAAGAATCATTTTATTGGTTTCAAAAAGCAGCAAAAAATGGTAATCAACATTCAAAATTTAATATTGCGTTATTATATAGTAAAGGTGTAGAAATTGAAACAAATATTGAAAAAGCATTTTATTGGTATCAAAGAGCAGCAAAAAATGGATGTAACCTTGGATTATTTTATGAAATGGGTAAAATAATAAAATGAATATTATAAAAGCATTTTTATTGGTATCATATAGCAGCATCAAATGGTAATAATAATGTTCAGTATAACCTTGCATTATTATAAGAAAATGGTGAAAAAATAGAAAAAAATTTGAAAAAAGCATTTTATTGGTATCGAAAAACATCAGAAAATAATAATAATAATGCACAAAATAATCTTGCATTATTATATGAAAGTGAAGAAAATTTTGATAAAGCTTTTATTTGTATCAAAAGCAATAAAAAATAATAATATAATTGCAATGTTTAATTTAGCTTTATGTTATCATAGTGGAAAAGGAACTAAAAAGAATTTAGAAAATGCTTTATATTGGTATCAAAAAGCAGCAGAAAATGGCAATAGTAGTGCGCAATATGATATTGCTACCTTCTATTTCTGTAAGAAAGGTAATTAAATGTTGTTATATTTTTATTTTATGTAATTGCGATATAACGAAAATAGCATGTAAATTGATTTTAGCGAAATAAAATAATGAAGTTTTTATTGAATTAAATAAAGATAATAGTTATATTATGTAAAATGATAAAAGAATACAATAAATGCACTATTACTGCATCTGTCGGCGCTCTGTAATAGGCCAAAAGAGAAAAGAATTATCTAATTACAAAGTTGTTCAAATTCTATCGTAAACTAAGAGTGAAACGAATGTATTAAAATTTCTTTACCATGGAATTGCTACGGCATTCTTTAGAAATATCAGCAGATTTGCGGCTTGGATGACGGAAATGCCAATTAATTGATCCCTGATGTCAAAGTGACATCTCGTCAATGATCCCATATTTGTCCTAAAGGCGATCCGCATATATTGATCGTCATAGCCGCGGTCAAATTTTGGCGCAGTCAAAACAATATTATAAAAAACATGTGAAAGAATAAAAGGGATTTGAAATGAATTGTGTTAAAAGGGATGAATTTATATTATTGAATTTGCCTGATTTCTTGTTATGTAAATGGAATTACAAAAGATTTAGGAAATTTCTAGAAAAAAAAGTAATGTGCAATATATTTATATGAAAATGATGAAGTATTAATAAGTCTCACAAAAGTGAAAGAACGAATAAGAAAGTTAAGAGATAATGAGTAGTAATGGATGATAATCAATCTTATTTCCATACATTCATTCAATTTGAATTTTGTAGCAATTTTATCTTTAATTTATTAAATACTAGGGAACGGGGACCGTTGAGCAAGTGTAACGAAAGTAACAATCACGTATCGACTCAATTTTTGAGCGGGGAAATTTGTCAACGTGTTTAAATATATATATTCCTTCGCTCACTCTCCGTACTAATAAAATAAATAAATTAGGTTTGATAACTTTCGAAATTATTAATTTTTTAATTATAATATTAAATCAATATTTTAAAAAAATAAGGTTACTGAACTTATAGATACTGCATATTTTATAATTCATCTAAGTATCTTATAAATAGCCTGAAATTTGTTATTTTATTATACTTCAATTTACTTCTATGTTTAACGCGAGTTTGTTTTGTTGATTAAGACATATAATATTAAGCTATTATATGCCTATTGAAATTAAGACATTATTCGAATCGATAAGAACGAATTCTGATTTATTTGACTTATTTGGATTGTGACAGATTGTTATTTACATGGCAAAATTGCAATATATTCTGGGATCTGTCTTATATGATTTCAAAACAAGTAATGAAGAAAATTATGCAGCCCAAAATATCTCCTGTAGTAATTAAGTAAATCTTAAGAACTAAATACTTAAATTATATGTAAAAGGCTTCGTTTTTCAGTATTAATTGCAGGATTATAGAAATATTATGAAAATTTAAGTATCTATAATAAAATAAAAACTCAAATAAAAAAAAAACACGATGCGTCTTATAATCATATTACCTCGACCTTCCTGCTTTATTTTCTATGTAAGTCAATACGAAAATTTGAATGTTCGGTATTCAGAATAGTGTAAACAGTCCCATTTTTTAATCATGTGTCTAAAATTTTTTAATCATTATTAAATTTATTTATTATAAAAATGTCTTCACAAAATCGTTCAGAAAAATACAGTTAAAACCGTAAGGATGCATCAAATATCTGAAATCATGGAAAATTTTATTAGTTATAGAATTTGATGAATTCGAAGAAGTCGTTATGATGGGCTATAGATGATTCTATCGTAGCGTTTTACTACTTAATCGGAATTGCAAGGTTATATAAAACGTGAGTTATACTTATATCGTAGCCACTCGATTCTAAAAGCATCCCGAATATTTCTAATAATTTTTACTCACTCTTATTTACGTCATTGAACAAATATTAGAATTTAAGGAAGTTTATTCAATAAAATATTTTTTTTTGTCAAGGCTTTATTCCTTATAACAAAATTAGTTTTTAGATTGTATTTTCTAAATTAAATTACCTTTAACCCGTCATATGTTTACAAATTCTTCCGTTAAACCCGGTTCGTTCAATGATATTTCCGCATCTGAAATTGAGTTTCAGACACAAGATCGTTTAGTATTGTTATTTAAACTTTAAAAAAAATAATGTTTATTAAATTTAATAATTGCTAAAGTTATTTAATAACATCTATAGAATAAAGTTTTATAAAAGGTGTGAATACTGTATCATTAAATTTCATTTAAGTATTAAATTTAGTTAAAAAGACAACTTTTATTATCTTAGTATTGTAAATTTACAGTTAAGGTACGACGATTATAAATTTGAAGATCCGTATACTAGGACAAAATTGGATTTTATTTGAGGGGCTTGTTAAAATCAATTATTAATTTGAGTTACTTATTTTTTAAAAAATTTAATTTCGTTTCGAAATAGTTTAATTAAGAACGGAAATTTTTTATATCGATAAAACCCAGAAAAAAAGTCGTTTAATTAAGGTGGTACAATAGTTGTGTAACGAAATTACCAAATTTATTTAAAGTCGTACGATTTTTTTTAAATGATAAACATAAATTTTTTTTTTGATTCTTGAAAAATAGTGTTGGCATCTTGTTATAACACTATTAATCCGATTACATAATTTCATTTCAAAAATTTTCATGATGTTAAGACAAATCGGAAGATTAGTTATCAACCAAAATAAACCTACATGTTATAAACCATTGTTTTGTCAAAATGCAAGAGGGTTTCATTCCACTTATATCGCCTATAATGCCGATGTAAAAGTATGTTTAATTTTTTTTTTTTTTTATTTCAATTTTGTTAAAATTAATTTAATGTATCATTCATTGAATCATTGAAATTTCAGACATTTGACAAAATATTGATCGCAAATCGTGGTGAAATTGCTTGTCGTGTTATTCGTACAGCTAAAAAAATGGGAATTAAAACTGTAGCCATTTATTCTGATGCCGATGCTCGTGGTTTACATGTAAGTTTTTACCCGGAAATTTTTTCAGGTGTAAGGTTACAGTAAACTCTGTGCACAGATTTGCATAAGTAAATGCTTATGCAAAACACAACTCTGTGATACCTCTTTCTTATTTTTTTAAATTAAAACTAAAATGTTCTATATTATCAGGTCGCTATGGCCGATGAAGCTGTTAATGTGGTAATGTTATCTTAAACGAATTGCTGCATTAACAAGTTCACATATTAATTAATTATTAAAAGAAACGAGCTTGCTTTAATTAGGGACCTCCTCCATCAAATCAAAGTTATCTTAATATACCAAGTAATATGTCTAATTATATCACTAAGTTCTCATCTTATTATGTTTTTCTAATTTAATCTCCTTTTATAAAAAAAAGATATTATTAAGGCTATTCAAGAAACTGGTGCACAAGCTGTACATCCTGGTTATGGTTTTTTATCAGAAAATTCTCATTTTGTAAAAAGTTTGGATGAAATTGGTATCTCTTTTATTGGTCCCGGCGAAGCTGCTATGGCATCGTTGGGTGATAAGATTCAAAGTAAAATCATTGCAAAAGAATCCGGTGTTAATATCATTCCTGGTTATAATGGTGTTGTAAAAGACACTGATCATGCTTTAGAAATCGGTAATTATGAATATAAATATTTAAATTACAAACAGGTTTATAATAACTTAGAACTTATTTATATTTTATATAGCAAAGTCCATTGGATATCCTGTAATGCTTAAGGCTTCAGCGGGTGGTGGAGGAAAAGGTATGCGTATTGCATGGTAAGTTTTTTTAATGAAATTCTAAGAGACCTTTATTAGATTAATTGCGATTATAATAATTTATTTAAACTTTAATTATAGGAATGATCAAGAAGTCATTGAGGGATTTAAACTGGCATCACAAGAATCTTTATCAAGTTTTGGTGATGATCGATTATTAGTTGAAAAATATATAGATAATCCTCGTCATATTGAAATTCAACTTATTGCTGATAAATTTGGAAATGTATTGTATCTTCCGGAACGTGAATGTTCAATTCAAAGAAGAAATCAAAAGGTTATTGAAGAAGCTCCAAGCACTCATTTAGATTCTATTACACGTAAAGCAATGGGTGAACAAGCTGCTGCTCTCGCAAAACATGTTGGTTATGTATCAGCTGGAACAGTTGAATTTTTAGTAGATACTCAACGTAATTTTTATTTTTTGGAAATGAATACACGACTTCAAGTTGAACATCCTATTACCGAATATATTACAGGAATGGATTTGGTTGAGCAAATGATTCGTATTGCAGCAAATCAAAAATTATCTATGAAACAGGATGATATTAAATTTCATGGTTGGGCAGTAGAATCTCGTATATATGCCGAAGATCCTGAAAAATATTTACCATCTATTGGACGTCTTAATAAATATCGTGAACCTGTCAGTATGACAGATAAAAATGAAGTTCGATGTGATTCTGGAGTTTTTGAAGGAAGTGAGATTAGTATTTACTATGATCCTTTAATTTGTAAACTTTCTACTTATGGTGAAACGAGAGATGAGGCAATTCAAAACATGAATAAAGCTTTGGATTCTTATGTTATTAAAGGTTCTCTTTATAATAATTTAATTTATTTTATTTTATTAATATTATAATATTAACAAAAATTTTATTATAAAGGAGTTACTCATAACATTTCATTATTACGTGAAGTTATTGGAAGCTCAAGATTTCAATCCGGAAACATTTCTACAAAATTCCTTGGTGAAGAATATCCAAAAGGTTTTAAAGGGCATGCTCTTAATAAAGAGTCATTATATGAACTTGCATCTGTAGCTGCTTTAGTACATGTTAAGAAAGATTTACGTAATTGGCATTGGTTAGATGATAAAAGTGCTTTATTAAAAAATGCATTAAGTGAACGGGTACCGAAATCTTGGAATCTTTGGATAAAAATAAATAATGAAAATATACATAATATTAATATACAAGTTGAAAAAAGGTTAAATAATGAATTTTTGGTATTTTCAATTTTTTTATTTATTTGTTTTATTTTATTTGCATTTAAATGAAAAACCAAATCCTAAAACTTATATATTATAACTTAGATTAAAACAGAAAACTATCCGAACGCTATAGTTAAAGCTGATTGGGCTTTAGAATCGTCTTTGATAAATTCACAGTTTCAAATCGAAAATGATTTAGAAAAAACAATTACTATACAATATATTGATCCATTACCAATTGGTTTTCGTCTACAACATCTTGGAACTAAATTTGATATAACTGTACATAGTCAAAAACAACATGAATTAAGTCAGTATATGCTTGAAAAACCAAAACAAGATTTATCTAAAGTTATATTAAGTCCTATGCCTGGTAGTGTGATAAGTATAGAAGTCAATGTGGGAGATATTGTAAGTATTAATTATTTATGAAATATATATTTTTTGTTAAATAATCATGTATTTAAAAATATTTTTATTTATGTTGTTTATAAAGGTAAATGAAGGTGCAGAACTTGCTGTCGTTGAAGCTATGAAAATGCAAAATGTATTACGCGCTTCTCGTGTTGGTAAAGTAAAAAAGATTTATGTTAAACCCGGTGATGCTGTTGCTGCAGATGAAATTATGATAGAATTTGAAGAATCTTCTTCTTAGTTCTTGATAAGTTTTGAGAGACTTTTGTTGTAAAAAAAAAAAGTCAGTGTTATTACCAGAATAATTTAACCCGGAGGGAGGCTACATACAATTTTCTTATTATATTTTTTTTTTTTGTACAAACTTTATTTATTTATAAATAATAAAACAATTTTTGTTTAAACTATATTTGAATAGTGATATTTATTTATGTAATAAATAATTTGATACTATAATATATTAGATAAAATGAAAAAATATTAATATATACAAATAATATTAAAAATTTTAATGAATTTTTGAGCTTTAAAAAAGGTTTATAATCAGAAGTATTAATATTAATACTAAACTCCACATTTTATATAATATTATTAACGAATTAATATTATTCAAACTAGAGTTAGCGATTTATGGGAGACTTCGTCCCCTTTAGCAAACAATTTTTTATCATAATTTTTCGTGTGAAGGAATTAATAAAATATAAATTTTTTTATATTTTCATAATTTATTTATTGAAAGCAATTTATATTATTAAATTTTAAATAAATTATGATTAATAAATAAGAATTTGATGAATTTATTAGTTGATTTCAAAAGATGGGATTTGTTCTATTAAATCATAAAATAATATTATTAAAACAGGGATGAATTAGAGCTGAATCAATATTGATTATTATTTTAAATCAAAATTGTATTAGGATTTATTAAAATCTTTGTTATAAATATAATAATTATGAATTTTTATTATAAATTTGCAGTTTTTATTTTTTTATAATTTAAATTAAATACGGTTAATAATGAATTTTAAAATCTAAAATTTGCAATGATTATAAATTTTTTAATTATCAGTTATTAATTATTTATAAAAATATATAATAAGCACTAAAATTTTTAAGCATATATAAATAATTAAAAATTAATTTATTTTTAAAAGCAAAAATAATATAAAATAATAAAAAAATAATAATAGAAAATAATATTTTATGGGTATTTTTTTTTATGGTAATACAAGAAAAAATTTGCTATATTCATTAAATTTTATATAAAAATTCGTTATATAAAAAACTTTGTTAACAAAAGTCCTATTTATTATACTTAATACAGAATTTTCAATTCATTATACATAATAGTAAATTTTATTATAAAAATTCATTATATTATTTTATTTTAATAAAATTCAGAACCTCTTATAAAATTCATAATAACAAAAAATTCAGAATATAGAAATTTGTTATGTAAAATTTAATTGTATCAAACAATTAAAAATTTTAAATAAAAACCTTTTGAAGAAAAATTTATATAGTAATTTAATTAGTATCCTATAAAAAAAAATTATATAGGATTTGTGTAGATTTTGTATAGATGTATACTGAAATCATATAGTATTTATGTAGTTATTTTAATATTTCATATAAAAATATTTATATAGAAATTTTAATATTAAGAAATCATACAGAAATAAATTTAAAAAATTTAAAGCCTTATAAAAAAGAGTATAAAAATATCATTTAGATTACATATATAAATAAATTTAAATTGTATATCCTGCAGCCTATTTTTATATTATAATCTTTTTATTTATTAAATCATGAGATATTGATAATTTTTTACATGTATTATAAATATTAAAGACTATTCAATTACAATATTATAATGATTAATTAAATACAAAATTCAAAGTGAATTTTCACAAATTTAAAAATAAATAATAATAATAAAAGAATAAAAAATAAAAAAATGATTGCTTCTAATATTTTGATATATAATATAAATTTTTATAATTATAATCTTCCAATGTCTTTGATGTATAATATAAATTTCTGATGTTTTTGATATATAATATAAATTTACTAATTATGATTATGTGTAATATATTTATATTTCCATATATATAATATATATTAAATAATTTAATAAATATTTTAAACTTATATGTTATCTATAAAAATGTTTATTACAAATAAAACTTATAATTTATAAAATAAAAGATTATCTAAAGAGAGGTAAAGTCATTATAGAAAAAGATAAAACTCAATAAATTTAATAATACAAGTCATACAAATGGTAAAAATAGTTATTTAATGCTTTATAATCTAGAATAATAAATCAAATATTTATCAAATGTAATACCAAATTTTAAATAGGTGAAAAAAATAATGCTAATAACTAGAAATCTCCAATATTTTATAGTGCTATACTTGGTGATAGGTACAATTATCACACTTGCTTGAACTTTTATTTTATTTGCTAGATCTATATACTTTTTTAGGATCTGATATAAATTCATTTCAAAAAAATAATGGAGTTTATTAATTAGCTTTTACATCATTTAGTATTGATAATAATAAGAAATTTCAAAAATAAAGTATATGTAATTTTAGAATTTATAGATAAATTTATTATTTTATCAGTCTATCATTTCTAATCAAGATCACACATTATTATCAGGTAAATAAAACTACTGAGATTAAAATATTAATCTATTTTAATCAAATATAAAATCTTTATAAGTATAATACTTCTATAATTACTAATATTTCCTAAAGGTAATAATAGTTATATATATAAATATACTTTTATTAGAGTGTCAAAAAGGGAAAGAATAACAATAATGCAATTTTACTTTTATAGACATAAATTAGAGATAAAAATTGACTGCAATGTGCATATCTTATAGAAAAACTTTCTTATAATTAGCTAAATAGATTACACTAATTTTATAATTAATTATATATCACATGCTACTTTTTATTTATTATAAATTGATATTTTTATCAAATTTTATAATTTGAATACTATAAAATTTCAATAAATTGATTACATATATAAGTAAGACATAAAGGAGGATTCTAAAACAAAATTCTAAAATAATGCATAAAAAGTTCCATGATCATTTGCGAATCAATTCTAGATATATGAATCAATTATTGAATTCAAGCCTCTTACGTGATTTGGCTCAAATCTAGCTATTAAAAGATGTTGATATCAAATTGATCAGGATTTATAACTAGAAGGCTTATATAATACATCCTTTTAAAAAAACATATTATTATTGAACTTTACTTGCTCATTAGTAAGAATGATGCTGTAATTGATTTTCAAATCTGCAATATGACGGATTTTTGAATTGAATTGCGTATAGTAATCACATTTCTGCAATTCAAATCATGTGATATAATATAATTTATGTAAATACAAAATTGCAAATTATTTGAGATTTAGTAATTGGATTTTGATAAATTTTATATCATTCGATCCTTCTCTTCTCTATGAGAGGATTCAAATGATATAAATTTTATTTTCTAACATTAATATTGATGAAGAAATAACTACACAAACATTAAAATATTTTGAAAATGAAATATGATCTAATGATTGGATTTTGATGAATATTATATCATTAAACTCATCTTTATATAAGAATATGAATAGTATAAATTTCATCTTTCTATCAGTAATATTAATGAATTTAGAATTATACAAACATTTAACAATTTTTGGTAACAGAATAATATCCAATAATTGGATTTTGATAAAAATTATACTATTCAATTCGACCTAGTTAGAGGATTCAAATGGGGTTTTTTTTGACTTTTAACGAGCAGTACTGCCATAAGTTTGTAATTTTTTCTTTGTAAATTTTATCTAGTATACAATATAAATTTAATAAAGTAGATAAAATGCTAAGCTAATAATTATCTCTTGTAATTCTATTGCTAATAAAGCTCAAACCCATTTAGATTGACTGATCACCTGAATCCTAACCAAATAATCCATATTTAATAACTGAGCTGTCAACAAGAAATTCAAATGAGGTTGTCAATACAGCAACGTAATTTCTAAATATTCTTCGATCCTAACTTCTAAATAAAATTTAAACAAACTAACAACCCCCTAAGAAGAAAAATAGGTTCAAATAGAAATTATTTAAAAAGACTAACATGACTCTATAAAACCTAAATGTTCAGTTAATTTCAGATATAATGATCACCTGACCAAAAAGAGTGCGTTATTAGCTGTAAGATTAACATTTAAAAGATCGTCAAAAATTGATCTTCAAATTTATAGTCGACTTATTTATCAAATATGACAGATTGGTCATATTTGAATGATGATCCATATTTAACATATTAATTATATTTGTTATATTTGTTAACTTCATTAAATTTGTTATATTTGATAGATTTATTTTGTTTATTATATTTATCATATTAGTTATATTTATTATATTAGATATATTTATCATATTATATTACTATTAGTTTATTTTATATAAATAGTATGTATTTTCCCTTGAGTTAAAAGATAACTTGAGATAGGGTTTTGTGAATAAACCAAGATTTCAATAAAGATATTTGTTATTATTTACTATTACCTTTTGCCGTATCTTCATACAGGTATGATTGTGATAAAGTTATTATGATTAATTTAATAGACTGAATTATATTGTCTATGTTTTATTTCCAGCCCTCTAGCTAACAGCGTCTAAGGAAAGGTTTAAATAGAGGCTCTTCATACTCATAGATTTATAAGTACAGAAAAAATATCACGTAGAATCCACTACGAAAACTCTATGATAAACCAACAGATAGTAACCTATACCCTTTACCTAGTTACCAAGAAAAAATAAATCAAAGCAGACTTACACTGAATAAGCAAATAATAATGACTACCTGTAACTCTATTTAAAACTACGGTAGGCCAACAAAATACAAAACCAAGTATTAGTTACCATTACACTATATAGAAGACCTCATAGAGAAATAAAGTAATAATTTACGCTAAATTTGCATGTGATCTTTGATGATAGAGAATCTACAGAAAGGCAGAAGCCAATCAAAAGAGAGTATATTATTTAGAAAGGAAAAAGTGTCATCACGTAAGATTTGTTTTATTCAAAGTTTGTCAATCATGATTGTTGATTGGGATAAACTATTTTTTAGTAGGCAAAAAAAAAATGAGAAAAACGGAAAAAATTTTTTTGAAAAGAGGTGAAGAAAAAAATATTTTAACAGAAAATA